TCAAAAAGAAGCCAAAATTTCTAGGTTTTATTAGGAATTTAAAAGGTGGCCGATATAAGCCCAAGTACCTTCTTGTGTCCTTGAAGCTTTGCTAATGTGGCAAACCCATCGCCATAAGACCATGAATGTAAATTCCGGCACTGATCACCATGAACACAGTTGTCATTCATCCAATATTTGCAGATACTTATTGAAGTCTTTTGAGGAACTTGTGTCCTTTCTCTCTCATCTCCCATATTTCTATTCAAGACCTTCTTAGTAGTATGCTTTTGAGGAACTTCATCTCCCATATTCTTAGTAGTATGCTTTTGAGGAACTTCATCTCCCATATTTTTAGTAGTATGCTTTTGAGGAACTTCATCTCCCATATTTTTAGTAGTATGCTTTTGAGGAACTTCATCTCCCATATTTTTAGTAGTATGCTTTTGAGGAACTTCATCTCCCATATTTTTATTCAAGACCTTCTTAGTAGTATGCTTTTGAGGAACTTCATCTCCCATATTTCTATTCAAGACCTTCTTAGTAGTATGCTTGGGGAGATTTCTATTCCAGACCTTATTCTTAGTAGTATGCTTGGGAGACAACATGTCATTTCCTGTTTTTCTACGTGAGACCGTCTTCGCAAACTCAGAAGATATATGACAACGCTTCCTTGCATTATGATATAATGCAGTATCATCTCTACAAGAACCAGTTGACAGAATTGATGGTGTTTCACTGTGCAGAAACTTACACGGGTTTCTGTTGCATCTTCCTTGGAGCCAAAAGATGCATGTTGTCCCAATGACTCGTTCAGTTCTATTGAACCTTTTCATAGCCATAGTAATCTAAAAAGAAACAACATTCCAATAACACCGAAAATCCAAATCAGCCGCCGTATCAACATTTCAATACCAAATTTGATCTCATCCCAAATCATATCAAACCCAATAAACTTAACACTTTCATATCCATGTTAATCTAAAAAGAAGCAACATTCAAATAACACCCAAATCCAAATCAGCCGTATCAACATTTCAATACCAAATTTGATCACTTTCATAGCCATAGTAATCTAAAAAGGAACAACATTCCAATAACACCGAAAATCCAAATCAGCCGCCGTATCGACATTTCAATACCAAATTTGATCTCATCCCAAATCATATCAAACCCAATAAACTTGACACTTTCATATCCATGTTAATCTAAAAAGAAGCAACATTCAAATAACAAAAAGAAGCAACATTCAAATAACACCCAAATCCAAATCAGCCGCCGTATCAACATTTCAATACCAAATTTGATCACATCACAAAAATCATATTAAACCCAAAATTTGAACCTCTTCACTTTCATAACAGTGGTAATCGAAAAATTAACAATATTCCAATAAATCCCTAAATCCAAATCAGCCACTGTATCAACATTTACCAACTTAATCACATTCCAAATCATAGTAAACCCTAATTTGAGCTTTATAATATCCAATATCAAATCATCACTCATCAAAAATCCTAAATAATTCAACCAAAGTGATAATCTAAAAGTTACCTGAAGTTTGAGAATACGAAATTCAGAATTCGTTTGTAATGGATAATGAACAAATAAAGTGAGGTGAACTAGGGTTTAGTTTATATAGATTTAGAGTTAGTTTTGGGCTTGAAGTTATGTCGGTTAGGCAGAAAAAGTGGGACTGCGAAATAGGTGTTTGAAGTTATGTCGGTTAGGCAGAAAAAGTGGGACTGCGAAATAGGTGTTAATAAGGGTAGAGTGATTTGTGTTGATGAGGTTAGACTTGGGTTGACCCAGACCAAGAATCTCTGCCCCAAAAACGGATTCTCCATCACATATAGCATTAGTTTAAGGAAACTTTAAGGAAAGTCTAGCTATTCTGTTAAGGAAAACTGAAATGTTATTATTTCTATTTTATAATCAAGTAGGCTTCTTGTTCACTTTTTCAACCTACTCTTTGGTGTTTTGAATTTCATTAAGAAATGTATTAAATTAACCCATTGTCAAAGCATGAAATTGACCCCAAACTTATGAACCATCCAATACTTCCTTCTTAGTTCTTGTTTTAGAATTAGTTATATACAACTATTATTTTTCAGAACTATGTTCGAATCAATTGTATTATTTTACATTAAGTATGACTTGACCTTTTCTTAATATTTTTTTAAATGTTTAAATAATTCTTTTGGTTATGTCGGTTAGAGTGTTTTGCGTTTTTAGTTATGTCGGTTAGAGTGATTAATGTAGTCTATTAATGATTCATATATTTATTAAACATTAAATTTATTATCTATTATCTATATATAAAAAAGTAAATACTTAGAAAAGTCACATAATTTGATTCCATGATTAAATATATCCTTAACTGCAATTACATTTGTTTAACATTAAATTTTGCTTTATTATATTTTCAAAATAATCATTATAATTAATTTTATATTAAATTATACTATTTATTTATATTATATTTTAACTTTTTATATTTTAAATTAATTAACACAGTAACTTTTTATATTTTAATATCCATTGAGGTCAATGATATTTCAAAGGGAAAAAAATGGGAGAAGAAAGTAGAAACTCTAGAAAACTAAAGCTGGATAAAAGAGCCACACACAAAGGCCTGGTATTTTCTTCCCTTTAATGGAATAATCATTGAAAAGAATGCTGAAATAACAATTGAAAAAGAATACCACACACCCAAGAAGCAAAATACAGTGATCTTTTATTCACAGAGCAAAATACAGTACTTAGGAGACCCTATTAGTCTCTCAAAAAAAATTTTTAAACTTCTCTGTCAAGAACCATAAAAAAAAAGATTTGGTTGCAAAACAGTTATTGTTATGCTAAACAGTCCACTCAAGTAACAAAAAAATCAAACCATGCCTTTATTTCATTACGATAAACAGAGTAACTAGGATAATAGAGGTGCTAGTATAAATGATCTCGAATGGCTATTGAACATAAAAAAAATCAAAGAATATACCTTGTGAATGGTAAAAGGTGGCTGTAAGTGTTTGAACCCTAGTAATGGAGCACGAGAGCAACTGGTGACAAATTTAAGAACCATACAGCGCTCTTTAGGTTCAAAGCCTTTAATCACCTGTACGAAATTGGCAGAAATAAGTCAAATAACATACATAAATTCTTTATTATAGTTCACAAGGTTGAAATTAATGGTTATTAGTCACTTTCTAAAGCAAATATGTATGTGTTAGAGAGGGTGAGAAACTTCAATTCAACCAAATTCACCAAACTAGAATAGATCTCAGATACATCAAATGAATGATTAACTTATTTGAAAGATTAACTAGGGGCAAAAACTAGCTGAACACCTGAAGCTTGAGTGTGGATTATGATAAAAATAGAGGTTGCTCAAGCTTGAGTCATTAATTTAAATTAGTCTAACTAAAAATTTGAGCTTGACTTGTTAAAAAAGGATAAAACTTGAGCTTAGCTTGTTTAGCTAATTATAAACTTCATTTTTTCTTTTTTGCATTATTGAACATTTTCTTTACACTAAGTTCATCAATTTAGTAATTCAAAATATTTCTATAAACATACGCTATAAATCACAAATAAAATTAACATTTTTCATTATCATATACGTCCCTCGTATGGGAATATATTGAAAATAACAAAATAACCACCAACGTCAATAACGTAATGGCCACCTGAAAGCAAATACATTCTTATGTATCTCAAAAATCTTGCAGTAATATGTGAACTCATCACAAATAAAACCTTCAGTATAAGTTATCACAAGTTGATAAAGAACTGTTAAAGGAAATTGATAAAGAACTGTTAATGAATCAATTAATCAGCATTGCAAAGCTCAAGCAATTTTAACAACTGGTTTTGACTAATGCATGTTCTGTCCTCAAAAACAAAATAATCACTATAATATGCTCAAATCTGAAATCCATATCATAAGCAGTAGAAAAAGTACTGGTGCAATCATCTAAGTGGCACAATATAAAAAGCATAACAAGAATTCACAATCCTAGTTGCTTTATAAAAACATGGATGCCAATGAAACACTTGTACTTCATATGTCTACATCAGCACAGCTTCCTGATCCTGCACATGATATGAAGAAACATGGACCAGTATTAATTCATACCAAATTATAAGCAACCCTTTTAAGTAACTCCAATAAGCATATCAAAGGGCATAACCAATTACAAGCAATTGAAAAGTGAAGTATTTATAGACTAATATTACAAATCCTCAGATGAACCAGTATCAGTAGTTTCTTTCTAACCTATCACTTGATAGAAAATCACGCAGCTAAGACAATTACCGATCAAATCTAAGCTGCCAAGCAATTTGCAAATCAGTTATTATTCTTTCTTCAAATACTAAGGATTACGCATAAACCAAATTGTCGATGACAGCAAAACTTATAAAGGTTCACTCTCGAGTTCTCTGTTTCATCCATGAGTACTAACAGCTTCCCAAACCAAATTTCTTGGAACTGGTTTCGTAAGATCCCGAGCTTGCAAAGCAGAATTCCTCAACGTCTGAACGGTAAGTACATTAGCCTTCCAGAAAGACACACAAGTGTAAGGAAGAGTGTATAAAGTTTGCGGTTTACTGAGTGTATAAAGCTGCCGGTAACAGCCAAGGTAGTATGTATATTCAGAATGAATTGTTAAACCATTCCTTATTCTAGCTGCCGGTAACAGCCAAGGTCTCACAGTAAGGAGAAAACAAATGGATTAAACAAGCCTAACATTCGACACTTAATTGATAGTGCGGATCATATCTTCTACCGTGGAATGGTTACAACATATGTAAAAGTCTTAACAACATACAAAGATGAACTAAAGTAATCTTCAAAAACATGACAAATATGTTTTAGCAGAGCTACTGACAGGAAAGAAAATACAGCTTTGGGGTTGTTTCATAATATAGTACTTTAAACTTTTAACTAGTTTATGCAAATCAACAAAAAACGAAATTAAAGCTGCAAAAAAATACCTGTAATTTAGAAGTCTCCTTTATCTTCAATCCTCATCAAAAGTATCATAAGAATTACCTCCGTTAGATTGGTTTTGCAAAAAATATTCTGAAAAATAAGGTAGAAGTCTTTAAAAAAATTATATCAAATAAATACCATCTTTAATCAAACTTTTTCAATTTATTATTAAATTTAACTTTACCTCGCTCAATCTTCTCAAGCTCTTCAATATCATCTTGTGTGGGCAATGGTGAAGGTGATCCGCCAAGCCAGTCTTCTGTGCATATAAGTGCTTCCACAGATTTAGGAGTTAGGCGACTGCGATATTCATTGAGCACCCTTCCTCCGGTACTGAAGGCGGACTCAGATGCCACCGTTGAGACGGGTATAGCTAATAACTCTCTCGCAATGTTAGATAGGATTGGAAGTCGACTTGAATACACCTTCCACCAATTTAAGATATCAAAGTTAGGAATATCATCTTCTAATCCATCTTCTAGGTACTTTGTTAATTCAGATTTCACTCCACTTGGTTTGACACCACTTGATTGCAAAAATACCCCATAATAATAGTCGGGATTTCCAATTCGTCCAACTAATACGGGTGGTTCTGCAGAGTCACTTTGAGATCCACCCGTCCCACCACCGTTATACTCCTCAAATATTGTTTTCAAATCTAATTCTAATTTATCCTTCAAGAAATCAGCCTCTTTTTTGACAAAGTTTTTTTCGATAAACCAACGAGCATACATCATTTTCTTCTTATACTAGCACTTTGATTTTGCAGACAGTTTTTTTCAAAAAGTATAATTGTCATGTTCATCAGTTTCCTCTATCGATTCTCCTTGTCTTTTGTTTGTTACCAAGCAAATTGTATTCTTTCTTAATTTCTTTATCTATGGAAAACAATGAATATACCCTTTAAATTCAAAAGACTACCGCTACTGATAAGCTTATTCACATGTTAGCATCTCTCAATCATAGAATATAACACTATCCTTCTTTGAATGAGGATTTTCATCACAGAGCACATTTGGAGGACCCTTCACGTGAAGTCTCACGTGTTGTGGGTAGGACTTTCTACTAATGCAACTTTTGCCATGCATGTCCCATGGTTTGAATTGTATTCTAACAATTTTGAGAAGAAAACTTTAGCAGCAATTTAAATATTTGTACCAAAATGTTTGCATAGTATGATTACAGCAAAAGATGCTGTGTTACAAGCATTTTCGATTTAATAACATCATGCATGTGCGTAATAAGCGATTCATTTAAAATCTAAAATGCTCAAAGCTGAAAAAAGATTAATCAAGTCAATTATCATCTGAACTAACCCCAATACAAGTTATTATAACATTAAGTGAAGAAACAGATCTGAAACAAGAGATAAAATGATCTGGACACAGATATTGAATCACTTGATGTCTTGCTCACTTAAAAATTAGTTGACAGAAAAACAAGATCAAATTGGGGAGTTGTTATACCACGTTAAGAATAACAAATGGCAATGACTTCCAAGACACTACACATCCAAAAAGTTTGCGGAATATTCACCAAAATGATCATTATGAGAATATGGTTGCAGACTAAAAAGTAGTTGCAGCATGTCAATCTGGTTGCAGAACATGGGGCAAACTATAGAATAATATTAGTAACATATTGATGAATTAATATGGTAGCATATATAGATCAGTACCTCTAAACTCAAAAAGCAATGTGGTTAACAACAGTCTTAATCAAACACAATACATTTATGAACCTCATTGAGGCATTTTCACAAACAGCTTGTGAGTGCATATATTAAACATTTCTATGTTTTCCTATAACATGAATATTTATAACATATGAATTCAAATGAGAAAGAGTACAGTAGCTGAATTTTTTGGAACTTTTTGGAACTAATAATCAAGGTTCTGCAATTCATGATAATCGAAAATGGAATGTAAATGCATTTACCTGAGTTGAAAAGGAGGATTATCGTTTATGTTTGGGTTTTCCAATGAGATTGAAAAAAGAAGAAAGAATACATCAATTAAGAGAGAAGAACTGAAAATTGCAATTGGGGCTTCTTATGGATTTTTATTTGGTTGTGGTTATCCATTCAATTGGATGTGGGTGTCCAACTAATTTTAAAAATGGATTGGTTGAAAAACCAAAATAAAATTAACCGGTTTTTGAAAATTGGATTCGGATATGGTTATGGATAAACCATCAAACCGGTTAATTTGAGCATCCCTACCCATGATACAACAGTTAATACAGTACAAAAGTGAGTAAGTTGCATTAGACTACAGTCAATGATGATAAAACCTGTTGGTTGAGTTTGTAATCTGCCATCGCATGTATGTACTGCATCTTGTTTTCATTTGTCACAGAAATATCTTTTCCCCCAGACTTGAGCTCAAATGATTCTTCAGTAACTGTGAAGTCAAAAAAGAGCTCCTTGACATCACCATCATAATTCTGCATGAATGATTACTGTGAACCTTCCAGTGAAATGTTAAATTGCAAGAACAGACTCGAGGAAAGAACAAATCCCAATTAAAAAAAAGCAAAGCTAACATACAAATGCAAATTGGATCATGTTAATGAATTATTGAATTTTTAAGGTTTTCATGAATAATACTGAGTATATAACATCCACCAACCAAGACATTAGCTCTTGAAGGACGAACGTTGTAGGTTGAGAAACAGCACCAAACCATGTAAGATTTTTAAAACATGGATCCTAGCATAAAGCAATGTGATACATTGGGGATGGTCAGGGACAGATCTATGTTTTAGTATTCTGGCAGCTGCCCCCACAAGTTTTCTATTGTGCTACTTAAAGTAGTATCTTGACTCCTCTAAATGGAAACTAAGGTCATGAAAGAATTTTCTCTTTTAAACTTTGTGAAGAATCAAAGACAAAAGTGTATGAAATGAACTTTTGATATGACTGTTTGGTCACATGCACATGGATATAGTTTTGATAGTGTTGAAAAATGAAATATTACAACACTTTCAAAATAAGAATGCAAGTGAAGAGCAATTATAATTTGTAGATGTGAAGGTGGGTACGGTTTTTTAGATATGCAATTGTATAGTATTTAGAACATCTCACGTTCTGCTTAATATATCTTTTAAAACAAATATTTATTGTATATAATCTTGCTCCCGCCAATTGAAATTTTTGGATCTGTCGGTGTGGATCGTCATGATTAATTTTGACAAAAGATTTATAAGTGAAGCAATAACATGGATATATCTCTTGGGATTACCTTGACATACATAAGACTCCTGTATAGCTCTGGATCAAGTGTTGATAATTCATCAAGAAAGCTATATCGTCCCAACAGCTTTTGTACAAAAACATGCGAGAAAGAGTAATCAAGTAATATTCCTTCATAAAGAGATTTACCAACTATTCTTCCAAGGAACTCAATCATATGAAGACCGTTGTCCAAAAATCTTGCGGAAGCAGTGGGAATTAGGAGGCTATCTGAAGTTGAGGTTTGGGAAAAAAGCCCGTTTCTACAGCAAAATGAAAAAGTTTCAACTAAGAAAGTCACTCCTGGAAGAGGAAATAGCTATGAAATAAATGCATGAAAATACAAAATAACATCTCAAACTTACTCATGGGTAAATGCTTCTTTTGATATGTCAGTCAAAAACTCTTTCGATAATCCACCGTAGTTAGACCAGCCTCCGTAAGGCCACATTCACTGACAAATGAGACATGGATGGATGACTTCAACTTTGACCCAAGTGAGTTTAATTGTTGAAATCCATCTTCAACAATATGCCCCCGGCGTACTACAATCTCAATGGCTCGTGAACCAGGTTCAGAGATTTCACCAACCCTTTTGCGTGAGGCTTTATCCATCTTGATGAATTCACGAAACATCTCCACTCTATTTCAGCAGTAAACAGGGTGACTAAGTACTTCCAATCACAAAATAAAAAATAAAAAGTACTTCCAATCAGAGACGATCATGTGTTACATTGAAAACAAACGAATATGACTCTAATGACGAATTGCATACAAATATCTCTTCCTCTTTACTCTCAAAATGAAAAGAAAAAGAAAACCAATTCAATTACATTGATGAATACTCTCGTTGACAACCTATCTCTCCCTTACAAAGTTTATTCTTGTTGCTTTGCTTCATTTATGGTTTCTTAATGATCAACATCTAACACATAATGGATAACTTATGACAAGCAAGAGGCCACATAATAGTCACAGTCACAAAGCTAGTAGTTACCTTTCTTCAAATGGGAAAACATGGGGAGTCACAGTGATAACAGAACCTAGACTCGGGGAAGATGATGAATCATCAGATCTCAGGTTAGCCGAAATAACTTCATGAGTTCTAGCAGCAACTGCAACTGGTGGCCGATTTTTTCTAGCAGGAGAAAGCCACAAATCAGGAGGACAAAATGGATGTCTGCAATCCCTTTCATACATTAAATGTAAGCATCTGACAGCACAATCCATGAGGGGCCTATTATGACGACCATTAACATGAGACAGGCCATTATAGACTAGGGTATTAAGCATTGATGCAATTCTCCTTTGCTGCTCTAACTTGAATGGAACCTAACCATGTAATCAAATTCTCTAGAAAGTTAGTTTCTGAAAATGTGAACTTATTCATAAAAGGACTGGGACAAGAAGAAACCAAGCTGCTACCTGTTTCTCATAAAACTCTATGTCATCAAGAACTACAAGCAGGTGAGAATAGGTTGCACAAAAAAGACGAAGCATAGCAAACATACTTTTTGGAAAGCCTTGCTAGGTGCAGAGTGACTGCCAACAGGATCTCTGCAGTCTGTTGCGGTTTGTGACTTACCTGTAAATTTATGAAGTACGCTGACCCACTTAGTGGCCCCATCTTTACTTGCCTGTTTTGGTATCTTCTCAAAAGCTTTACGGTTTCCATGTTTGTGTTCAGAGAAAAAGCACATGTACACCAGAGCCAAAATCACCCACCTAAATTACTCCAAAACCATGCCCCTAATTCAATGCCCTTTTAGACTTCAAAATATTCAACCTCAAAATTATACTTCTAACAAGGGATTAACTTTTCTATATTAATCAAACAAACAACTGAATAAAAATTAGAGTGTGAATCATTAAACCTAACAGCAACACAGACAAAAGCAGGATTGTGTTAAATCTCAGTTAGGGTTGGAATTAGAAATTCATGAGTTGAATGCAAAACATCATCATCACATAGCTTTTCCCTAACTGGCTAATTCCATTTTCTTGCATGAAAAACATAACAAAATCTAACCTTAAAATGGCAAATAACACAAACAAATTGATTCAGAGACCAAGACTCTTGGAAGCACTTGCAGCTCTATCTTCTAAACTTCCTTCAACAGGTAAAGGCCAAACCTGAAACTCACTACATTGGAAAAAAAGCAGAAGAAGAATCAGAGACCAATAAACCCATTCAGAAGAATCGATGATCTTGAAGATGAAAACGAAGAGATGATCTCTCAAGGACCATACAAAATCGATTTTGTTTGATTTTAGAAATGTATTTCATTTAATTTTAGAGTTATCTGAAAGGAATTAAGAGGGAAAGATGAAAAACAAGGTGTGAAATATTTAGTCTCGGCTCATGTCTATCAGATAAAATAAATATATTCAAAAAAATAAAAAACGTTAGTGTCGGCGGATCTGTGTCTATCAGATAAAATAAATATATTCGGAAAAAAATTTAAAACATTAGTCTCGGCTCATCCGTATCTAAAATTTAAAAAA